TATATAATGTATGTCGTGCCGAATAGGCAGAACTTGCGATCTTGGGCTAAATAGCAACGCTCATCTTGCCATATACGGCAAGTGAAAATTTGTGTATGCAGTAATTTCGCCAAAATCATTCTGAACCTAAAGAAAGAAATATATTTCACTGTGTTTTGTTTAGTATTAAATTATTGTAAACAAATCTAAAATATATTTAGTTGGTTAGGCTAAAATAAATTGCCTTGTTATAATGTTAGGTAAGTTTTCTAAGTTCCTTTTGGTGCAAAAATATAAATTTTTACATCAACATTAATGAAAAAATATATCTTTAAACGTATAAGAGAAAATTTTAGAAAGGACTTAATTTTAAATGAGTTCTTGCTAATTGACCAGTTTTACATATCGGCACCACACACACACACACACACACACACACACACACACACACACACACACACACACACACACACATATATATATATATATATATATATATAATATATATATATATATATATAATATATATATATAATATATATATATAAATATACCAGTAGCCCTCGTGTCCACAATATTACACTTTCTGAATGAGCACAACTCAGGACAATATGGGTTCAGGTCAGGTTGATCCTGCCTCTTGCAGCTGCTGCACCATTATTATGACTTGCTTTTGATGTACTGGAAAACAAAGAGAATATAGATATAGTGTATAGAGACTATAAGAGCCTTGAAAAAGTGCGACCATAGTAAAATAGTACACTAAATTAATGCAAAACAAGAATAACTTGAAAAGTGGGCAGATGGCTATTTAACTTTCTAATTAATAGAACCCATGAATTTATAGTGAAGAAAATGAAATCAGAGGCTGCCACAGCTAAAAGCTCAGTCCCCCAAGGCATAGTAACTGCCCTAAAGCTTTCTCAATTTCACATCAGAAATAGACAGAGAAATAAATTATATTACTGTATCGTTCTTTGCAAAAGATACTAGAATTTGTATGAGCCTTTTCCTCAGTGTGGACATAGAAAACCTTCAAGCTGATTTAAAGTCTTCCAGTAGGATACTAACGACAATACATTGCTCAATGAAGGCAATTTTCAGTTACTCTGCTATGAAAACAAAAGGAAATAAAAACTGGAATGGAGTACACAACAAACTTGAATCACTCAATAGTTCAGAGGTTTAATGTGAGAAACTTAGGAGTGATAATGTCAAGATCTCACATTCAAGCATCACTTTAGTGTTAACACAGGCGCAAGGATAACGGCAGGATGGATAACTAGAACCTACACACACACAAAAAAAGAGAAGACAAGCCATTATCGATACTCAAGTCACTTGCTCTCTCAAGGCTGGAAAACTGCTGTATACTAACAGCCCCTTTTAAGAAAAGTAAAATTACAGAGCTAGAGAATATACAGGGTGCCTTCACTGCCAGTATGAACTTAAACCCAGCACCTAAATTACTGGGAAGATTTGAAGAAACATACATCATAATTTACATCTTAAAAACTCCGGAGGAATTGGTTTCAAATCTGCACATCGAAATCACCCCTAGAAAAGCTAAATGCGTGGCAAACTGTGCAAAATATCTCCACTGAAAAATAAGGGTGCAATGATTACACTAAGTGACATCTCAATAAGTGTAAGGAGACCAAGACTTTTCAACACCTTCCTTTCGTCCATAAAAGTGATTGCCAACAGATTCCTAGGAGTCTCCAAGATGGAACTTGATAAGCGCCTTACTTTACCCTTCGTTCACCTTTCGGTAATGCCGGGGGTCATTGCCCCCACTGCCCGGTTACAGATCATAACCCCTTAAGTCAGCTCCTGATCAGTGAGGCTGCGATGTGTATGTTATACTTCATGTGGATAGAACCAACAGCCTAGTTAACAAGGCCATCCACCAGGAGGTCTGGTCTGGGACCGGGCTGCGGGTGGGGTGCGTTTACCCCTGAAACTGTCTCCAAGTAAACTCTAAGTGAACCTGTTTCTTATGCACACATGAAATTTTTGGCTCTGTCTGTCAGATCTTCCTGGACTGTTGAAATACAGTACTCACGATTGCTTGTGATCCACTAAATGGGCTGACTCAGTTTCAAAGAAGAGTAACTATGGATGATATTGTCTCGTTGTTTTTCTGTCCTTGACACTCAGCTGTGATATCCACAGGTGGCATCCCTACTCAAGCACCAGCAGTCCGTACTGGAAACTCATTTTCTGTCGAGTAAGTTATACTTCTCTTTCTTTTCTCAACTGCTGGGATAGGTATACATAGGAAACGAGGCCCAAAAGCCTTCGACTATACTACATTGCCAATGACCCTGTGACTTGTTTCTTTTCGATTAGCATTTCTTCCATTTTGTCAATACTGCCCAATACGAGGTCAGTTTGATGCAATTACCAACTTGCCATTGTTTTCCCCCTAAAAATGTACAGAATATTCTTTAACATGCTTTAAGCCTTCCCCTAATGTTGCTTTGATAATGGTCTTAAGGTATGTGGATCCCTCTTTTTATATATAAACGTTTCTAGCTTGCTGGTTATAATTATAAAGAAAATGTATTTGTGTGGAATGATTACTTTTCAAGCATATTTCAAGAAATCACTAAACTTATATCACTGCAGTTGTGTAAGGGCCATTTTCGTCTTATGAGGCTTCAACGATGGAGGTCACCCAAATTCCAATTTTGTGTACTACACCTTGTAGCAAGAGGCATGTGTGGTAAGTCCACACTATGTCTCTATATGTAATTACGAACGTCCTGTCATCTTTTTTTACGAAGTACACAATTTTGAAGCGTCTCATCAACTGGTAACTGTTGTTTAAATAAATTTTTCTTTTGCTGATGATCTTTTCCAAAGTTTGACCCCTCACAAATGATGTATGCTTAATCCTATGCTCTCGACTTTTGGCGTTTATCAAAATTTGCTGTAAGGTTGTTTCTCCCTTCGGAGTTTCTAAATCTCTCTCATTGTGGATAAGCTTCTACACTGTTTTGGTAGAGAATATAAGGGATCTGATTTTTCCTAAAAAAAAAAAAAAAAAAAAAAAAAAAAACTAATATCAACTCGTAGTCTGTGTTGCCGTATTCTTGCTCCTTTTCGGCGGTTTAAGCCATGATTGATTTGTCCTGGGACTAAGTTCTCTTCATTTGCAATATAGTTTGATGCTCTACGAATGATTCAGTTTCTATCTTGCAAGTAACTTTCACGATCATCATCCATTTTTGCAGGTATGCAATACTTGCATTCAAAAGGTTCGTTTTTCTTCACAAACTTTGCCAACAAACTCTTTACCACAAACTCGACCAACTTTAATAACTAAATACCATCATCACCATCTGCCTGAAAAAAAAAAGTTTATAACTGAAGTAACATTATATTATAACAAAGGTGATATCGTTCAGGTACATAAATGTAAACAAAATGTTAATTTTCCTGAAAAAGTTATTGAAGTTTTTTAAACATTCAACATTATATGAGTATCTGAATATTGCGGTGTCATTTGATACCATGAAAATATGTAACCGAAATAAAATATCGGTGCGTCAAAACACAGTTTTATCACAGAGAAGGCAGAGCTACACAATGATATACATTTTCTGAAACTACAAAATCTAATAGAAAAACCAGCATCAGTGTTCATAGCGCCATGTAGTACCTATCATCTTATCTGCTTCATGAACAAATAATTTTCTACTTCCAAGAACATTTCTATCCCCTTCAGTGTTTCTTAGTAACATATTTTTTTTAACTCTTAAATCCACTTTATTGTGTTTTTTTTTTAAGCTGCGTACATTTGTACGTGTGCATAATTACTTATTTGAATTTGTGAAGAATGAGCTCCAACTCTTGTTTCCGCCTCTTAACTCATAATCAACTGATGTGAAACAGTCTTACCATGCCTATTTTTGAACCACTGTACAGAGTACATTTCAACTATGTTATTGCTCGATTTATTCAGTTTCTTAACCACTCTTAAGCTGAAGAAACATTTCGTCACATTTCTGTGGCTCACTCGGGTGTGTAGCTTCCAAATACTCTTTACTGTTTTTACTGGATCCCATCCCTCGTAAACGGCCTATCCATATCTACTTTACCTATAACCCGAAGTATATTGAATATCATAATTATATGCTTTTGTGTGTGTGTGTGTGTACTCACCGATCTGTGGTTGCAGGAATCGTGTCTTAGCACCTGGCCCCTCTTCGTTGATCGCTACCTGATCCATTCTCTCTCCTTGCTCCAAGAGCCTTATCGTACCTCTTCTTAAAGCTATGTATGGATCCTGCCTCTACTACTACTGTGTGTGTGTGTGTGTGTGTGTGTGTGTGTGTGTGTGTGTGTGTGTGTGTGTGTGTGTGTGTGCGTGTGTGCGTGCGTGCGTGCGCGGCTCATAAAGAAACGCAACCCACGGAGAATGGAAATTTTATTGTAACCTATTACTTTTAGTTGCACTGATCATTAAGATGAAGGTGTTCACATTATAGCATTTCATTTTTTTAACGAATACTATGTATTCAAATCAGCCTCATACACTGGTAGAGCTACAAGCCATCATTCACACACAAACATATATATATATATATATATATATATATATATATATATATATATATATATATATATATATATATATATATATATATATATATATATACAACAAGACAAGCCACAGGAAGGTGGAAATCTTTAACTCAAGTATTTTCGCACTTCTCAGTGCGTCATCAGGAGCTATGCAATGTTGCAACTGAAGGAGTGAGTGGAAGTTTTTCCTCAGAATAGAGAGCCAGGAGGAGGCATCAGGCCCACTCTGTGCGCTATTCCGAAAAAACTTCCCCTCACTCCTTCAGCTGCAACATTGCATAGCTCCTGATGACGCACTGAGAAGTGCGAAAGTACTTGAGCTAAAGATTTCCACCTCCCTGTGGCTTGTCTTGCATAGTTAAGATCGCCTGTCTGCGATTGTTTATATAAAAATTATATATATATATATATATATATATATATATATATATATATCCAGGCATTACCCACACCACTAGACCAATCCTTCTTGCCAAAATATAAGACTATATACACCTTGATTTATATCTACTATTATGACGAAGATGAGCAAGTTAATGAAGTGAGCTTCAACAAGGAAGTATACCCAGCTTTTCTCCTAAATTCTGGGTAAAAACTGCATACCTAGGTCCTAGGAAGCAAGATTCCTACAGTTCTAGGAATAGTGTATGACAGATTCTAGGAGGTAACAAACCAAGTATATCCCAGAAACTGGTAGGTTTGCCAGGATCTACGACACTGCATGCTAACAAGGTTCTGGTGGCAGGAATTTTTGACACGTGAAGTACTTCGTATTTCTAGGGGAGGCTGTAGAAAGGGATAACTTGGAAGTTTTTGAGAGATGAAATAAAGACAAATCCTAAGTGGAGGGTAACTGTAAAGCCCTAAGACGTGATGCCAAATTCTGGTGATATGAGTACTAGCAGATACTGACTGGGCATAAAAAATGAGGAAGATAACTTCACAGTCACATACAACACTTAGCCCAAGATTAAAATTAGTGGTAAAGGACTATAAAACGGTCTCTGGATCTCTGGGACTTCAGAAAGCGGACCCACAGCTCAGCGTGGTCCCACGTCTGGGAAAGTGAATTCCCACCACTGACTCTCAGGTGGTGGAACACGTGTTTACAGACGTACGAGCATAACTCCAACACTTAGGATGTTGGTACAGGATTAGTTTAGAGAACAGGGAGACCGGCCCAGGACTAGTGAGGGGCATATTCTTGGGAATGAAGAAAGCAAAGCAAGGACTAGGCTAGTAAGAAAACATTAAAAGTTTGAGTTGCTTGGGGTGTAAGGCCATGACTAGAGCTGGTCTGATATTTTCAGCGGCAATTGTTTGACTAACAATATTTAGTTTTGGACTAGAGCGATGCGATGGGCTGGGCAAGGGTGACTGAATCCAAGAAGGAAGACTCTGGATCACAAGAGAATACTGTCGAACCTGGGAAACCCGGAGAGAATCCTGGCCCAGGAACCACAAGGGAAGGTAGATCCGGAGACCAGAAGAAAAATTAACCTGAGGGCCATTGAAAAAAAAAATAACGATCAGGAAATAAATATTGGCACGCTATTGGTTCAGTGTTACACAGCTTAACATCAATATATTGCTATCACAAGAATTATATCTTATATTATTTACTGGATAATTCAACCATTATTTTGACTCGAATGGTTCATTACCAAGTTAAGAGGGGCGTTCATGCGAGGTGGCGGTAGCAGAGGTGGATTACCCTCATGGTCAATGTGAGCTACAGTAGGCAGTGTTAGGCAGCGTCAGGAATTACATATGTAGTTCCACGTGCGCCACGCCTCCGTTGTGACGTGAGCGACCTGATCCAGACCCACACGAGGCAGACCTTAGCATGCTGCAGTCAGGGTCTTGAGGGCTCTCCTCCACACCACTCTGCTCACTTTCTACCAATTTACTATTAATATTTTTAACTGGCGGCGTCCTTCCGTAACATTTACTACCATCGCTATAACTGCCATTCATCTTCACACGACTCACCACACTATGGCCATTGGCACGCCTTGTAACGTCTGCACCACCCACCAGAGGACTTAGTTTCGTAGGAGTGTGAGGACTGCGGCCCGGACTACGGCCAGGGGTGCGGGCGGGGCTGTGGGCGGGGCTTTGGGTGGGGCTACGGCCAGGGTTGCGGGCAGGACTTTGGGCGGGGCTGCGGCCGGGGTTTTGGCTAGGGCTGCGGCTGGGACTGCGGCCAGGGCTTCGGCCAGGGCTGCGGCCAGGGCTTCGGCCAGGGCTGCGGCCAGGGCTGCAACCAGGACTTTGGGCCGGGCTGCGGCCGGGGTTGCGGGCGGAGTTAGGGGCGGGGCTGCGGCCAGGGCTACGGGCTGGAGTGTGGACAGGGCTGGCAGCTGGACTGGAGGAACAACTCGCCCGCTCACGAACCGGACGCATGGTAGGTGGACTAGGGACTATCTGGTCACATTCCTTAATAGGAGAAAGATGTGGAGCTATGCTAGACCGCAGCCGGCGACGAGAGGGACGAGGCCGCGACAGTGACACCACTCTAACCTCCACGTCATCCTCTACAGAAAATTCACTTACTGCGGTAGACACAGCGCGACTCAGAGTTCGCAACTGTGCCCGAGAACGACCTAACTGGATCTGCGGTAACTGTGGCACTGAAGAAGCCCGAGCAGGTGGTGTTCTAGGAGCAGTATTGGTGGGCGACACCATAGCAGAACTGAAACGTCCACCTTGCTGTAAGTAGCGCGAGGAATGATTTTGAAGATGGTTTTTTCCTACAGTTGGTGAACGAGCATCCTCTGATGGAGTGGATGGGGAGAGCCCAGGAGTGGAGGAGGTGGAAGAGCGCGGAGAGCGGACAGCTGTGGTGGTAGTGTTTATAGAATCAACAGATACTGTAGCACGCAAAGCTGTGTCAGTTGTAGATGAAGGCGTAATTTGGTTATTTGGTGGGCGACGAACTACTGCCCAACCACAAACGGCACCCTCCCTCTCCGTCCCGCCTTCACGCCCATATGCAGCAAAGGAGTGAGCAGAGTTTGAGCCACGCAGGTGATGGCCTCTTATATACTCATAGGTGGTGAATCCCAGAAAAATAATATAAGCATGGAAAGCAGCGAGATGTACCAGTAGGACTTCTGCTACCAGAGCCACAGAAAACACGGTCGACAACAATCCGATGAAGGCGCCATCATAGACTAGAGCACCGAAGATGGAGAAATGGCAATAGGGCGCCCCTTCCGAGCATGTTAAAGAAGCTTCATCACTGGGATCTTCTTGAAACTTCTGTTCTTGCTTTGGTGCCTCCCATGGCGAGAGGTATTCTTTCTTGAAATAGTAAAGAACAATTTCTGCGAGACAGGTGGCCATGACCAGGAGGCAGCCCAAGATGGCCGTGATGACACACGCCAAAAACACTGGGTAGTTGCGACGACCCACGCAGTGGTTGAGCCATTTACAGTGATGATCAAACACGTCTACACACTTGTTGCACGCGCTACAGTGTTTAGTCCGACTGGAAGATATAGTTATGTTACACAGATGACACCGACCGTTTTCAATCACATGGCTATGTACGTTACGATCGAATTCGGGCACTTGTTGGCGATCTTTGCAGGCCCTGAGTTGAGGATCCGCTGGGTCAAGTGCCAGAGCTACTGCATGTGCCAGCACGTGGGCGGTGAAGACCACGCCTGTAATGACTGCTAGAGGCGTAGCCAAGCGGGAGTGAAGGGCGGGGAGGACAGCGCCGTACATGAGGGAGGTGAAGACGAACATCACCAGCCATGCCAGCACCTGCTGCGGGTGCAGTGGCAGCTGGAGGCCATGTACACGACGCACACGGCGCGGGCCTGCCCACCATGGCCGCCCTTCACCCATTGCACACCACCATCATCACCGCCCCCGTCCCTCTCTGCCTTTATTCCGTCCACCCTCGCTCCACCGCCCGTAGCCTCTTGCCGGGGCCTCTATTGTAAGAGGTTGTTCCTGCATATAGCCGCTTTTCTGTCCTCACACAACCTTCCACTTACGCCCACGCGCCTTCACGCCCACAACCGAAGATGCTGTCATGAAGACGGGGACTCATAACATACTGGGAAGCCAGAGGGCTGCAGCCGAGACCAGGAACCTGTGTAGATCTGGTGACCCCCTGGAGAACGCAAGCACACTCTTCAACTTGTGCTTGTGTTTTAGTAATCCTGTGGGAACCTGAAAGGAAATACTGCAATAAGTAGTAATCACCTTTGGAGGCGAGCTTGTGGCTCGCCTGAACGTCATATATGACATGCGTACGTCACAGCATCATCTACCGCTACTAGTACTGTGGTCTTCATGCACCACAAGGTTCTCTTCTCACCCACCAAATAACTTTACCTTTATTCCACATATCTCCACCACTCATGTCTACTAAAAATAGAAATGTATTAAATTCTCCTGTATGGCAGATGAAGGCACTAACACAGACATCCTCATCGGCACCTGCATCACAAATGTGTAATACCCGCTAGTCCATCACCACTTTCGTTTTCTCATTCAATGAGTTCATAATTGGCCAGGACTGAGCTGTAAACAAAAAAAGTGAAACGGCCATATTTTTTTTTCCACAGAGTATGGGAAGACAAGCGAAGGTGAGTGACGTCAGAAAATAGTTGGCATGTGTTATGCTTACGATACCAGCCAACCAACCACAGTTCTGGCCTATATCACAAGGAGCAGCACTGTAAACATGTACTACTGCTGCGTATCATGCTCAACCTCACTACCCAGAAACTCTACAGATATACCAAGTATTACTTTTTAAACCTTTTATGTAAAAGTTAAGACACTTGTGCAACATCTGCTTATCTTTATTATAGACGTTTCGCCATCCAGTGGCTTTATCAATACAGATTCTTGGACATAATTAGAAAACAGAAGAACTATATACACTGGATGGCGAAACGTCTACAATAAAGATAACCAGATGTTGCACAAGTGTCTTAACTTTCATCTTGTCGGTATTGTATACCAGTCTTGCACAACATGTTAAAGTAAAACTGCGGGGAACTTGTATTTCTTTATTGGCGCACTACTTAATAGAAGCATACAATGAAAACAATAGCCCACAGAAATGGCTATCGTTTGTCAAGCACAAAAAAAGGATGATTTCAAAAGAGCGGAAAAGCAAATGTAAGGAAAGCAACATAAATATAAAATGCCGAAAGACATCAGGTGGTAGAGGACGGATACACTGCAGTCGGACACAGAGCGGGTCATTCAGTGAAGAATACAATCTATGACTTCCCTAATACTGCGTCAACTATGAGTACTGGAGCGAACAAGAGTATGCACAAGCACGCAATATTTGATAGAATAGTACTAAAGAAAATAGTACCCAAACTAAGCTCCTCATTAGGAGACCAAATCAGTTGCATATAAAACACACCAAGGTAGTGGAAGGAGAGAGGTCTCACACTTCTCTGTATCAGGTAGTGGAAGGAGAGAGGTCTCACACTTCTCTGTATCAGGTAGTGGAAGGAGAGAGGTCTCACACTTCTCTGTATCAGACAGTGGAAGGAGAGAGGTCTCACACTTCTCTGTATCAGGTAGTGGAAGGAGAGAGTCTCACACTTCTCTGTATCAGGTAGTGGAAGGAGAGAGGTCTCACACTTCTCTGTATCAGACAGTGGAAGGAGAGAGGTCTCACACTTCTCTGTATCAGGTAGTGGAAGGAGAGAGGTCTCACACTTCTCTGTATCAGGTAGTGGAAGGAGAGAGGTCTCACACTTCTCTGTATCAGACAGTGGAAGGAGAGAGGTCTCACACTTCTCTGTATCAGGTAGTGGAAGGAGAGAGGTCTCACACTTCTCTGTATCAGACAGTGGAAGGAGAGAGTTCACATTCTCTGTATCAGACAGTGGAAGGAGAAAGGTCTCACACTTCTCTGTATCAGACAGTGGAAGGAGAGAGGTCTCACACTTGATAAAGCTCGCTTATGCATCAAGTGTCGCCTAAAGTAAGGATACCCAGGTGTTGCTTGTGTCGTATTTTCAACAATCAGGAAGCGATAAAGCTACGAAGGTCTGACAACGCCTGATTGCCCTAAGATGAGAGTAGTTCCAATTTGTTGAATCAAGAGCCCTTCACTAGCATCAATGTAATCCTCCCCCCTATCCCTTCCTTTTAAAGGGTATATGTCCTTATGTCCACCTGTTGGTTTGTTGCCCCAGTACCCAAGCACTGAGAGCGTATTACTGCATGAATGCTCACTCTTAATGTCTCTTCAGAATGTGTTTTCCTAATGTGACTCCATGTACAGCCCGGATCTAGTGGCGTAGGCTCATTACCACACGTTAATATTCTAACTCATCACGTTTTTCATTGCTATTACCATCAGTTTTGTTATTCATTTTCCCTTTTCCTAATGTGGTTGAAATTTTCCACAATCAAACTTTTTCACTTATGTCCTGCAAACTCTTCGTGTATTGTGTCTAAGGTGTGTACTGTTGCAGTATTATCATCATACATTACCCGACCTCCATCAATTATTCTAGTCTCCTAATTTTAATGTTCCTGTTATAATAATACTACTTATACAAAAAGCTCTCAACCTTGCACTGTAATATTTTATTTCGCTTATACTTAAGTTCTTCAGTTCCTTGAAGCATCACTGATATATGATCATTTGTACCAGTTTTCATTTTTCATATTCATTTCTCAGCAAGAGAAATCCCATTGGGAAATCTACATTTGTTATTACACTGATAAGTTCTGTCTCCCTGACGGCTATATCTGGCTTCTTTGTTATTCTATCTTGCCATCTTCCAAATTTATTGGCGACAACATCCACATTTGTTTACCGCACACTAATTCTCGTATACTTTACAGGTGTGCGTCTTGTGAATGTGAGGGATACAAGGTGAAAGAGTGAGAAGTATGGAAGAGATGGAGGGAGTATAACAGGACAGCTGAAAGATTTTCCTAAGAGTTAAACATCAGGGTAAGGGATGTACTTGGTAGGTGTCTAGCAGATGATCACAAACTAAATGCAAATTATGTGGTCAGGCATATGGTCACTGTCTTGAACACTATGTGCTTATTGTCCACTTATTGAGGAATATAGAGACAGACAGTATAGTAGCCTATGTGGCATGTCAAGATATCTTATTAATAAAAATAAGATACCAGATCTACTAAACAAATTTCCTAAATTTGTTTGTAACAGATAAGTAAACCGTATATATAAATCCAAAAGTACACCTGTAACCCTTTTGGGGCCTAGTTCCTAGGCCTTTTGTGTATCCATCCATATCGGTCCACAGGATGGATATGGGGTGCACATTAGACTAGGCACTTCGGTGGCAAAATCTAATCTAAATTTTGGTAGGTGAGTTATGGAGTACTTCTGGGTGACCGTGGGGAAGATTTTATGATTAAGCATAAAATTCATGACTGGGAGGACTGTAAAGGTATTAGAGGAAAGAATGGGATGAGATGAGTGGGAGAGGAAGAGAATGAGTGTTGTGTCGCACTGCTGTGTGTGTGTTGTGTTGCACAGTGGGAGGTAGAGTTGTACTAAACGAGTTTTATTTTCGGGGGTCGAAACTCTGCTCCTGGCCCCACCTCCTAGACTACTCTGATCGGCATCACTGATTTCTGACCTCTTGGGCCTCATCATATTAAGTTTGCTTCCATCAATGCCTCATCTACTTGTTAAAAAAAAAACTTGTCTCATCAGTGTTTCTATCTTCCATATAAGTTCCCTTGTTTTAAGGCCAGGTATTTCTAGTAGTCGGTCCCTGTTCACTGTATCAATTTATCTGGGCATCTTGCACGTTGTACTCACGTCGCTTCCAGAATCATCAATTTCAATTCCATTAAATTAAAGTTCATAGTGCACACCTGTCAACTCTGGGATTAGTCTCGATGCTAACATATGGACATTTTCAAGCATATGAACATGGTTGATCGGATGGGAGCTCCACACGAGTGTGTAATAAATGGATTTGTCAGAGTTCCTGAAGGCTATTTGTGAGATTTACTCTCCTTGCACAGGCTGTCAAAATTATGAATTGTGTTTCTCCAGCAATATGCCCAATGTTATGTTCAATCCTAGATGTTTTTCTTTGGCCGATGTTTGTAGTTTCTGTTTCCAGTCTACTCAGTCTACGATCTCCCCCTCTCTCCTTTCCTAAATTGCACGAATATAATTTATTTGCACGTAATTCTTGTAACTGCTTCTTTGACAAGCCTTACAACCTCCTAGTCTTCCTGAAGGCTGTCTCTTCTCTGGCAGGTCATTTATATATTATCATAATAGTCCAGATTTCATCATATGTTGCTACGTTACATCACCTAAATTTTACTGGCTCATAACATTAGACTTTCTTATAAATAAGCAAGACACAACTGCGATAATTGCCCATTCAGATGCACATATTAACTCAACATGTAGTTGAACGTTTGTAAATATTTAATATACGTTGATATTATGTTTATTATGTTAGTGTTACAAATGTCGGGTACTGAATAGCAGTTTGGACAAATTGAACTGCTTCGCAAAACCGTAGTCCCACAACGATGGGGGCAAACCAATTTACTCTGAATGGCGGTAGAAACGACCAGGTTGGGAAACATGCACGTGTATCGAGGGGGCACTATTGAATCCAAAAGTAAACAGGGTATATACAGAGAGGTCTTTTTCTTAAGTGCATTTACATTGACATTGTAGTTTCCTCTTTCTTCTTCTTCTTCTTCTTTATTATTATTATTTATTATTATTATTATTATTATGTTTTCATTATTATGGGGAAGCACTAAACATGTAGGCGTCATACAGCACCTAGATAATTATAATCAATCGAGTTTCACCCTAGGAAAAGGAAGGCATCTCTAATTTCCTGAACAAAGAATTCTTCACCAGCGTTAAGGCATCTCCCATGAAGGATGAGCTCATTGTAAACTCTTAATAACTCACGTGTAATTGATGGGCTGTGAACCTAACAAACTAGTGTGGTGAATGGTTTAGAAAACCGACAAGTTGAAGAATTGAACACTTATGCAACACATGGGAATCTTTATTGAAGAAACGTTTCGCCACACAGTGGCTTCTTCAGTCCAATACAGAGTAGAAATGGGTAAGGAGAGGAGAAGTTTGAGGTAATCAGTCCCTCAACCTGGAATCGATATGTTCAGTCCATCACTCTTGTAGGAAATGCAGCATAGGCCAG